AGAAATAGTCATTGGGGCCGGCAGAATGGCGTATTGGTTAAGAGTTGGCTTGGGACGCCAGCTCTGAGCAGCAGGGGCCCGGTTCCAACACCACGAGGGCCAGTGATGCTGTACTCTCTACAACTAAGATGGTGAACAACAGCTCGACCTGGAGCTGGGTTGCCTGTGAGTCGCCGGCAACAGCATAGGCTGCAGCCCCTGCTGCAGTGGGCTGCTGTGAGCTACCGTGAGCGGCCGGTAGCCAGCGTGAGCCGTGGTGAGCAGCTGTCCAATGGCCAGCGAGCAACTACCTCACCCGGGAAGAGCGCAATGATAATACCAACATGGGCCAGTGAAGCGACATCCTCCACAATTATACTGAAGAACAAAAGGACAGCAACTTGTCTGTTCCCTTCCCCTGATTCCCCAATAAAATCTTTAAAAAAAAAAAAAAGAAAGAAATAGTCATTTTTGGAGGAAGATCCAGCCTGTGAAGAATGGAGTAGTGAATGAAGTATGTGGTAAGAGGAAAGGAGAAAGGAAGAACGAATATATGTACACTTACACATCCAACATATACGTAACTGGAATCTCTGAATAGGGAAACGAAAACCATGGAACAGAGCAAACTGTTCAAGATATAATCCGGGAGAACGTTCCTGAAATACGCGACTTGTAAAAAGTTGTTTTCGTAGGTCAAAACTGGTAGAAACGGATAATTTCATGTGGTCCAACCTAATATATACTAGTTTGTTGTTTTAATTTCTTACACTGAGAACTTGTTCATTTAGCATTTTTTTTTTAAAGAAACAAGAAAATATAAGCTGTAAACCTGGCATAGGAACTCCAGTCTACCAGCTTTGTTCTTTCCAAGGTGCTCTGCCAACGAGGGGGGAAAATATGGCAGAAAAACTGGATTTTTAGAGCAGAAAGAATGATATTGTAAGAGGTGGGATCAAGGTTCTGAGCTACAATCTTCCCTCTCTTAGCAGATGGGGAAACTGAGGCTCTGTAACATGGCAGCTGCCACCAGTCAGCGGACAGTTCATGGACACGCATCTGGGTCTCTGTCTTCTTGTCCAGGGGTCTTAAGACACACCCAGGCAGGGTCTGAAGTTGTCTGCAATCCCCATGGCCCACCCATCAGTAAGCCCTGTGCACTTCAGCATCTGAATGACCCTGGAATCTGTTATGTATTTCCACCACCCACTGCCACGACCGTGGCCTTGCCTCCTCCTCCCACATGGAAGATATACCAGCTCCTCACTGCTGTCCCCCTCACTCCTGCATTCTCTTCAGCCGCCAGAGGGCGCTTCTCAAAACAGAACCATGTCACTCCCTGTGCAGAAAAGGCCTGCTTGGCCCTGGGCTGGCACCTGGGAGCTTGGGATTTGGGGAGGGTTCCCTCCATTCCCTGATAAGGAGGGAAGGGCTCACGGTCCCATATAAACAGTGTGGTTTATGTTGAAAATCTGCTCTTCTTCCAGGAGTCTGGAATTCTTCTAAGTGCTAGGCAGAAGGTGCCTCTGTGACCAGCCTCCAATGAAAACCTTAGGTGGTGAGTCTCTAACAAGCTTTCCTAGTCGGCAACATTTCACATGCATCGTCACAACTCATTGCTGGAGGAATTAAGCGCATCCTCTGTAACTACACTGGGAGAGGGCTCTGGAAGCTAGAGCCTGCTTTGCTCTGGACCTCACCCCATGCACCTTTTCCCTTTCTGGTTTTAATGTGTCCTTTTGCTGTAATACATCTTAGCCACGAGTCAAACTGTATGCTGAGTCCTATGAGTCCTCCTAAGGAACCAATGAACCTGGGGCGATCTTGGGGACCTCTGACATACTCCCTTATTAAAAACTCTTCTTTGGCTTCCCACTGCTCTTAAAAGTAAAGACCCAAGTGCTCTGCAGAGGCCCATACCTGTTCTGCATGCTGTGGCCTCTGCCTGCTTATCTGACCTCACCTATCCCCATCCTCTCTGCTCCGGCCACACTGTCTCCTCTCAGCTCTCGGTGCTTGACAGATTCCTTTAACCACAGGGCCTTTGCACATATATTTCCCTCTGCCAAAAATTCCCACCTTGTCATTTATCTTCTTTTCTGGTCTCAGGAGGTCTCCCTCAAGCATCTCAGCTCTGGGAAATTGGCCAGGTACCTTGCACTCACGCAGGGCCCTACACTCTTCCCCGTGGAGCCAGGTCCTGTTGGAGTCGGTCGCCCCCATCAGGGCAGAAACCAGGTGGGTTCCTGCTCATGCCATATCCTGTCTGGCAGACTGCAGGTTCCCACTACACATACCTGATGGGTCAGCTGCACTCCTAGCAGGAAGACTCCCAGCAGCGATCTCATAGACCCCAGCTCCTGCTCTCCCCACCCCCAAACCCCCCCCACCCCAGGGGGTGGGGGTTTCTGTTCAGAGGAATGCCTATTTTTAAAATCAGGGAAGTCTTTAAATAAGTGTGACTGCTTTTCCTTCTCTAGGGTGGGGAGGAAGTTTGAGGTTCACAAAACCAACCACCGTGATGGTTGACCAGCTTGGGTTGGGGGTGCTGCTTATGGGCTGAGGGGCCCGACTGGTGGCCCAGGTTCCCCTCCCAGAGTCGAGCACTCCAACCTCTCTCTCCTTTTCCTACAGGGTCAGGATCCCTCCTGTCTTGATAAGAGTCTGTCAACTCAGCAAGATGATTGTGAGGCTGAGTGGAGACGATGTGGGAAATAACATCTAGAGCAGTGGAACTGCAGTGACTTTAACTAGAGCACCCGCCATTTCTGAGCTCCGTGCAAAGCCCTTGATAACACTTTGCAAAAACTCCATGAAGTGGGGCCTGACTCTCCATTTACAGGTAAGGAAACTGGGAACAGAGAGTCCAAGTAACATGCCCCAGGTCACAGAGCCAGAGTTCAGGTTCTGGATTCCAACCCAGGCTGCCTGCCCAGGGCCCCCTCCTTTTGTTTACAAAAGCATAGGAAGAAAACAAAAGCAGAGAAAAAAATGCAATTATTCAGCTAGATATTAAGACCTATCCCTGGTGTGAATGAATCATCAGGGTCACCCCTGTCCCCCGATGTCTTAGTGATACTTCGGCGGTGGAAAGGACGGGATAAACAGAGTTCAGGGCACCCCTCTTTCGTGCCTCACAGTCTAACCACTGGCTGTCAGCCTGGCTGCACACTGGAACCACCTAGAAGCTTAAAAGAACACCATGCCTGGGTCCCAGGCCCCGAGATTGTGATTCAGTTAGTCTGGGATGGCCTAGGTGTTGAGATCTCCCATGAGAGGTCCACATCGAGAACCCAAGCCTCCAGAGGCCTCATGAGAGATGAGCCAAAGGGCCACAAGGCTTTCTAGGCACTCCTGGCTCCCAGGTTCCCCAGATGTGGCTGGTGACACAAAATCATCTGAGATGAGGACTAGGTCAGCTGATCGGCTGCAAACACAGCTTGTCTCATGACTGAGTCCACAGCCCCCACGTTTAAGCGTCTGCTGTAGTTGGGCATCCTGCCAAGTGCTTTCCACACACGATCTTGTGCCCTCCTCACCACAACTCTACCAGAGGTCGTTGTTCCCATTTTACAGAAGAGGAAAACTGAGGCTCAGAGAGGCGGGAAGGGGGCAGAGGAGGGCAGGTGTCCCCAGCCTACTTAGCCCCTCTCAACAGAGCTGGCTACGGCCAATCAGGTCTGACTCATGGCCAAAATCCCCACCAGTTTCTCCTACAACACGGCTGTTTTCCTCTCAAACTGGGGAGCTGGACAATAATAAAGCTCCTAAAAGCAATCCTATTAAAACAGATTTTTCGTATTAAGACAGATTTTTAAAAACATAATTAACTCTATAAGGGGACATTACTAAAAGGAACTTGGTCTTTGAATCAGTAAGAGGCTTATTTGCTACAAGTGTTCCTGGCCCAATCTTCCTCAGCTCCTTCACAATGCCGCTGGGCCAGCCTCTCAAATTGGCCTCTGTGTGATTACAAACAGGCTCCCGCCTTCCAGGAGGTCCCCCAGGTATGTCCTTGGTTCTGCAGTCCATCCCTCTGCTTCCCCTGCTTTGTGCCCTCACATCCACCCCATCCCTACGACATGTCCCCATAGTTCTCTAGCTTCATTCAGACCCCAGACTCACCTGGACCCTCCTCCCCACTGAGCAGACCTTTATCCTATCAATTTCTTTCAGTATTAATACTGTGAAAACATGAGCAAAAGGAAATAAATGCATAACAATCCCAGCACCCCAAACTTACCATCATCTACCTATCTTATCTACCTATCTCGCTCCCTAATCTGTCTTTTACAATTATAATCAAAGACTGCAGACATTTCTGCATCCTATTTGTCCCATTAGTCATATGCATCAGACTTATGCCTTTTTCATGGCTGAGAAACTAACCAAGGAATCAGTGCTCTCACATTTCAATTTCTGATTGTTCCTCTTTTTAGCACCTTTATCACCAGTTCTAACCACATTTTCTCACATTTTAACATATCTGAAATCTGAATGTCTTACAATTGACCACTTTCAGCATTGTGGGTCACATTATAACACAATAAACGGTGATGGTATGTTTTCTTCTTCACAGTACATAAAATAACAGTGCGTCTACAATCAATGGTGTCTTACGTGCTAAGAACTACGGTGCTGTAAATTATACTTTTTCCATTTTATTGTTATTTCCTTTCCCGTAAGTGAGATAACCAGGTTGGATCATAAACATTTTCATGATTCCTGATACATACTGTCAAAATTTTTTCCGCAACAGCTGTGTGGGCTGACCCAGCCTCTGTCTAGATGTAGGAATGGGCCGGCTTCACTGGAGTATAACCAGCACCAAGCGTTTCCGCTTGCTTTTTTGGTTTGCCTAACTTAACAGGGAACTACAAATGAAGGAAAGTATGAGCTGTTTCCATTTGCCTTTCTCTGATGAATAACAACTACAACTCACAGGTGCTTTCCCTCTATCCTGTTAGAAATGCCAAACAGAATTATCTTCTCAAGGCTGGGAGGTCGCAGAATCGGCTTACCTTATCATCCCAGGTGGCCATTTTCCTGTCGTCTCCGGATCTGGAAAATAGGAAAACATTTGTCTGGAACTGTCTTTGGTCATCCTGCCTTAGGATGTGCTTTGTAACACTTTCTTACACATTTTTTTAAACTTAGGTGTCTGAAAATAGTAAAGAATAAAGCTCAAAGTGTATACAAAAGGATGTACATCCTGAGTATGAACCCAAAAGAATTGAGAACAGGCACTCAATCAAGTACATGTACACAAATATTCACAGCTAAAAGGTGGAAACAACCCAAGTGTCCATTAACACATAAATGGATAAATAAAAGATGTCACATCCATACAACGGAATGTTACCGAGCCATATAAATAAATGAAATATTTTTGTAAAATAGTGAATCATGTTGTACACCTGAAACTAATATAATCTTGTATGTCAATCAGACCTTGATAAAAAATTAATTAAAAAAAAGAAATGAAGCACTGACATGTGCCACAATATAAATGAACCTCTAAAATATGCTAAGTGAAAAAAGCCAGACACAAAAATATCACGTATTCATGATTTCATTGATAGATGATGTCCAAAATATGCAAATCCGTAGAGACAGATTGGTGGTTGAGGGGATGAGGAGTGATGGCTTAATGGGTACAGGGGTTTCCTTTTGGGGTGATGAAAATGTTCTGGAACTAGATAGAGGTGGTGATTACACAACACTGTTGATGCACTAAATGCCACTGAATTGTTTACTTTATAATGGTTACTTTTGTTGTGTGAATTTCACTCCAATTAAAAAAAACCCAGGTAGACACAGATTGCAGTGCTGAGGTTGCTCTGGAAAGCAGCAGAGAATCTAAATGTCCACCAACAGGGGTCTGGCTAAGTCAGTTAAGTAAGGTGCATCTGAGCAGTGGGCACCCCCAATACATTATAGCACAGTGTACAGAGTATGGTCCCATATACATGAAAGACTACATTTTTTTTAAAAGTCTGCAAGGATATAGCCAAACTCTTCACAGTGGTTACTGCCGGAGAAAAAGGGAGTGATTTGGGGGTGGGGTGGGTATTTTCCTTCTCTTAGCTTTGGGAAGGCCTGAACTTGTATGATGACTATGTGTTACTTCTTAAAAATTATTTTTAACGTAGGTGACATATGTAGTAAAAAAATTTTAATTATACAAAAAGATATAGTCTGACAAGTTTCTTTTTTACCCATTCTTCCCAGAAGCAGCCACTCTTACCAGTTTCCCATGTAGCCTTCGGGGGTATTCTATGCCTTCGCAAGCACATGCATATTTATGCTTTCTCTCTTTTTTCCTTAAACTAACATGAGCTCAACACACTGCTCTGAACCTTGCTTATTTCCCTTTAGGGTGCGGTAAGCTGAACAATGGCCCCCTGAAGATGCACATATCCTAATCCTAACCCCCAGAACCTGTAAAAATGTCACCTTACATGGCAAAAGGAACTTTGCAGATGTGGTTAAATAAAGGATCCTGAGATGAGGGGTTATTTAGGTGGGCCCAATGTCATCAGAGGGGTCTTTATAAGTAGAGCAGGAGAATCAGACAGAGAGAGATACGTGACTATGGAAGCAGAGGTTGGAGTCAGAGAGAGATTTGAAGATTGTACACTGCTGGCTTTGAAGATGAAGGGAAATGAACCAAAGGATGCAGGCAGCCCCCAGAAGCTGGAAAATGCAAGGAAACATTCTTCCCTAGAACCTCCAGAGGCAACGCAGCCCTGCTGACACCTCGATTTTGGCTCACTGAGACTGATTTTGGACATCTGACCCCCACCCCAGAACTGTAAGATAATAAATTTACGTTGTTTTAAGCCATTAAATGTGTGGCCATTTGTTACAGCAGCCACAGGAGACTAGTGTAGTATCTCCAAGATGGGTCCATGGCTGTGTTCTAGGTCAAGTGCACTGTGTGGCAGGATGGCACAGGATTCCCCTGGGGAAATGTGTATAGTTCCACTAGTGAGCAACATTTAGCGGCATCCCAATCATGTGCTGCTCTCATGTTCCAATGAATAACCCTGCACATCGTGGATTACTTTTTTTTTTTTTTTTAAGCTGAGTCATCCTGCTACCTGTTGGCAGCTCAGCGGCTGCTCAGCTCAGGCTGGACTCGAACCGCTGTTGCTCAGAGCTCAAACTCTTGAGCGAGCTCTTAACCAACTGAGCCACTCGGCCAGCCCTGTGGATTACTTTTATAATTGAAAAAAATTACCACTTTGAAAAATATATTCACAAAGACTTAAAAAGGAAGATTTCTTCCTCTCCCCACAGTACCATGCTCAGGGACTCTCAAAGAGCTTCTTGCTGGTTGACTGGCAGAGCAGTTTCTGCAGCCAGCAGAGTTCAGCTCTGTGTGTTCCAGCCCCTGGGGGCTTACCCTGCTCTCATGAGATGGGCTCAAGTGGAACCATCACCACAAGTGAAGATGAAGGGAAGAAGTAAGGTGCACAAGACAGCAAATAGAGCTACCATAAATGTAGAAAAATATGTAGTTTCAGTAATTTAAGCAACAGAACATTTAAACCCACTGCGACCTCCCCATTAAAATAAACAAAACAAATAAAAATGAGAACACCCAATGCTTGTAGGGCTGTAGAAAAACTTGCAAACACTGCCAGGAGTAATTTTTCTGGTAGTAAGTGGCATGTGCCTTCAAAAGGACCATAACCTTGTCCTCAACAGTTTGGGAATGATCTATCTCAAAGAAATCACTTGGTAGCAAAAAACAAATAAACAAAACATGCAATTTGGACAAAAATGTTGAAAGCTAAGTTGGTATTATGGCTAGACCCTGGAAACAGCACACAAGCCTCACTTTGGGGAAAAGCTGAGGATGGGAGCGGACGGTTAGGAAGAATGGCAATGCTGAGGTCTATGTGGAAATGTAGAAAGAATACTGTTAAGCAATGAGACATAAGGAGAGCTCTGAAGGTTGCACACGCTGCTGTAGTTGTACTAAGTTATCAGAACTTTGACTATGTGCCAGGCACAGTGTGGTGTCCTGGGGAAGCTTAAGTGAAGAGGCAAGGGAAAGACCAGGGCCCTGGAAGGCTGACATTTTAGCTGGGAAGACAAATGAGGAACCAAGAAAACACATAAGCAAGGAAACATCCAGGGCTAAGCACGGGAGGAAGGAAAGACTGAGGCAACAGAGAGGAGGCAAGTGTGGCCCCTGCAGTGGGATGGTCAGGCGGCCTTCTGGGTCTTTTAGGGTGGTTCCCAAATTGCAAGGAGGTATGTCACAAGAAGATGGCAGGGAATATCCCCAGGAGGAGGAGGAGGAGGAGGAGGAGCAGTGTCAAGGCCCTGAGAGAGCAGAGAGCTTCAGCATGTCCAAGGAGCCAGGTGTGGCTGCAGTGGGCAGCTGAGTGAGAGGATGGTGGCAAGAACCGAGAGACAAGTCAAGGCAGCCCGATCAATGCTGAGGATCTGGGGGTCGAGGTGGGAATAGAAGAGGAGTGGCCTATATGTGGGGGACAAGGAGAAGAGCAAGTTTTGGAGCAGGAAGACTCTGGGCTTCCTCCTTCTTGCTAAACCAGTGGTGGGGGAGGCCTTGGGGGCTGCAGAGCAGTTCTGGGATTGTGCAAGCCACAGCCCAAAGGTTTTCAAAACCCTGCGCCTCCCGGCCTTTCCTCTGGTGGGGTCAGAGCAGGGAGAAGTTGCCGCCCCCAGCCTTGGTCTTACTCAAGAAGCTTAAGCTGCTTGATGGGGTTGTCTGGAAACACTGCAGATCTCAGCAAGCTCTGAGAGACCTGAGGTTAAAGGCATCCAGGACACAGAAGTGCTTCAGAGGGGCGGGGATGGGGAGGGCGAGGGGCACAGCTTGTGCCAGGCACTAGGCTAAACTTCCACACCAATCATCTCATTTAATCTTCTCAGTAATCCTGTAAGGCAGTTACCATGCTGAGCCCCACGGGACAGATAAGAAGCATGGAGAGGTGAAGTCTCACAGCTAAACTCACAAGAACACCCTCTACCCAGCGGAGGTGCTGAGTAAAGGTGTGGAAGTTTCTGGAGAGGGCTGCACTGCTTCCCACCACTCCTGGAGTTTACCCTGGCCCCAACCCACCATTCTTCCCGACCCCCCCACCCCCACCCCGCCTGCAGCCGCAGCCCGATTTATCCAGGTGATGGGTTTGCTGCCCTGGGGGTTCTTCCTACAGGAAGGGCTGGCTCATTTCAGCCTCCTCCCTGGATTCCCAGCATTGGCTTTACCCCCCACTTCTCTCTGTGCAGCCTGGGGGGAAGGGGGGTGGCAGGGCAGGGATGAGGAATAAGCAAACTTAGGGGTTCACACCCACCTGGGTGTAAGTGCTGGCTCTGCCTCCTTTGGCTGTGTGACCCAAGGCAAGTAAGTGGCGTGGCCTCTTTGAGTCTTGGTCTCTTCACCTACAAGAGGGAAATAAGGATGGTACTTACCTCACCTGTTGCTGCTGCCTGGCATTTGATGAAGTGAAGTCACCTGGCCCAGACTCCATTTTCAACAGGAGATAACGAAGGCTAAAGAGGGGCTTCCCTCCCAGGTCCTGTGCGTGTCCTATCCCTCCAACGGACTCTAGTTCCCACTGGGCAAGGCAGGGGTCCCCGGGAGGCGGGTTGCCCGCTCGTGTTGGCCCGTGCTGGAAAACGCTAGAACGCAGGGCAACGGGCGGGCTGGGATCCCGCGGGGTCCCAGCAGGATGGCGGGAGGCCTGTTCTCTTCGGAGGGCTCGGGCTGCGGGACTCAGAAAAAGGGGTTTCGCGCCAAGAGGGGGCGCGCCCCCGGCCCGGGAGCACTTACCATGCGCCCCGCCAGCCCGCAGCTACCACCGCAACTACGAGCATGGCTCCAGCCCGGGCCGCCCCGCCCCTACCGCCCCGCCCCTCCCCTCCCCTCCCCTCCCGCCCCCTGCTGCCCCCTCCGGGCCCGCCCGCTAACTCAGTCCCTTCTCGGTCTCCCTCTCTTGCCTGTGTCTCGGTCTGCTTATCCTCGCTCTTGCCTGTCTATCGACCTCCGTCTTGATCTCTAGCTTCCCGTTTCTTGGACTCTCCCGCTCCGCAGGCTCGAGCCTGTCTTGGGCCTCCCGCAGTCCCGCGGATGGACAAAGGTCCCGCCCGTGGGAGCCAATCGCGAATCACGAGAATCCTGGCCCAGGAGAGACTGAGGGAAGGGGTGGGAGGAGGAAACCACTTCCTTTCTCTGGCGGGGTGGAGCAGGGGGCGCGGGGTAGAGCGGGGCGGTAGGGGAGGCAATGGGGAGTGAGGGGCAATGGGGGCGGACCTGTCTCCTTCCCCACCACACACACTTGGTAAGCAGGACCTGGCTTCTGGTAGCCCTGCACCCCAAAGTCCTGATTTCTTAGAGGTGGCCTTGAGTGGCCTTGCTGGTCTCCTGCACAATATCTGCCATGCAGAGCTGGAGGTGGGCAAGATGTCCTGAGGGGTGGGGGTGGGGGGAAACCTTGAAGATGTCAAGATGTCCCTGGAAGGGGGCTCAGTCTGGAGGTGAAAAAGGGGTGCCCTGCTCTAGGGCTGGTATTGGTAGGAGTGGGGAGCCTTCCTGCCAGCAGCTCTTGCTCAGGACCACGCCTGCTCCCCTTCAGGCCCAGCTGTAATGTCCTTCCCCTGTGGGCTCTCTTTTGCTCAGGCCTCCCTGCCTCTCCATTCATACCTTATTTATGCTGCTGCTGCTCACACTGGAACCAGTTATTCCATTAGCCTCCACCTTCCCAAAAGGGCCACTTGTCCCAAACTTCCAAGGGCAGAAGCCCTCTATCTTCTACACACCTCTCAGCTTCTGGTTTAGCTGGGGGTGGGAGGATCCTAACTCCCTTCAGTTGAATTAGTTGCCGATGGTTGCTATAACAAGTTACCACACACCTAGTGGCTTGAAACAACGCAAAACACTGAAAACAACGCAGCTCTGGAGGTCAGAAGTCCAAATGGGTCTTGCAGAGCTAAAAATCAAGGTGTTGGCAGGGCTGCTTTCAGTCTGGAGGCTCTGGGGTGGGGGTGGAGGGCTGTAGGAGTAATCCATCCCTTGCCTTTTCCAGTTTCTAGAGGTTGCCTGCCTTCCTCGGCTCCTGGCTGCATCTTTCTGATGTCCGGATCATCATCACCTCTCCTCTAGATCTGACCCTTCTCTGTCACTCTTAAAACGACCCTTGTGATTACATAGATGGGCCCACCTGGGTAATCCAGGATAACCCCCCCCCCATCCCAAGATCCTTGACTTAATCACATCTGCAAAGTCCCTTGTGCAGGGAAGGTAACATATTCACAGGTTCTGGGGATTAGGGTGTTGGTATCTTGGTGGAGGGGGGGGGGCAGTATTCTGCCCACCACAGAGCTATGGCTTCCATTAGCTTCTACTGAGTCTGCTCTTCGCAATCCTGTCTCCCACCTTCTGCTGGGCAGCAGGCTTTTTAAAAATATCTCCGTCTGATCTGACTTCTCAGTCAGTTTTTGTGATTATAGCAGTCCCATTTCAGTTCCTAAGGCATGGTCTGGCCAATATTCAACCTCAACCTTATATTCCATTAAAAATTCCCCTCTTCCCTGAAGGCCAGCTACACAGAGTGGAGAGGATCTGTGGACTGTTCTTCCTAGTCTTCTCGTTGTTAACTCCCTTGTGACTGGGGAGAGACAAGGGAGAGGGAACAGGTATCAGATATATCCTCACCTAATTGCCCACCGGGAAACTGCAATCCTCTTTCTTTTGGTTTGAATAACTGGTCCTGCCAGTAGTTATAAGCTTAGCACAGACAGATGGTGGCCTCAACAGGCCCTATGAAGGCAAGGCTCAAACCCTCTCCCCAGCTTGATCCTCTAGCTGACCCCTGCTGGAGGCATCACTCATTTTATCTATGCCCTGGAGACTGGGGCCACCAGCAGGAACCGATTTCCACACTTTTTAGGGATCAGGGTCCTGACGGACCAGGTCAGCACATCTAGAGAATTTGGTAAAATTCTCAGTGTTGCTGTCTTCACTGAAATCCCTCAACTACTCAGTCTTTTCAGTGGACAGGAAAAGATCTCAGTTGTATTACTTACATCTTTATCCCCAGCACAGAGTTTGGCACATAGTAGGTGGTTATATTCCATGATGTAATTATGCAACGAGTATTCAGTGTAATAAGGGTGTCCACCATCCCTGCTTCTACTCAACACTGAACTGAAGATCCCAGCCGATGCAATAAGATAAGAAACAAGAGGTACAAAAATTGTACAGAGAAAAACTGTCTTTTGCAATCAATGTGATTGTCTACCTAGAGAATCCAAGAGACTCAACAGACTAGTATTGGATACCTACTGCGTGGTAGGCCTTTTCTAGATACTTAATCTAAGATGAAGGAGCAGCCCTCGTTCTCAGTAAGCTCCCATTTTAGCTGGGGAAGTGAGGTCAACAATCCTTAGGGTAGAGTCACCTGCAGAAGGAAGAATCCAGAACTTCCCTAAACTTGGATGGGAAAAATTACATCTTTATTTTCATCAATCTCTCACTGAAATTTAGCATTTCCTTCAGTTATGAATGTAGGCAACAAACCACAGTTGTATTAGCAGTACTCATGACTTTGTCATCAATCAAAATCACAGATGTTTTCAAGTCACAATATAGTATTTGTAAATATCTCAAAATATAACTTATACTTGCCACTACTTCAACATGACAGTGGTTATTAAACCAGCTCTTAGTCCTTACCGTTTAATATGTTAATAAAAAATTTCATATATTACTTTATCATAATTTTAAAAATAAGTCAATAACTGCATTTCAAGATAACTGGTGTCCTTTGTAATGCGATACATTCAATTTTATGCATTTAAAACATTACCCCGAGAAGAGGACCCACGATACAAGAACAATTAGGAACTCCTGCTTTAGAGGAAGGACTTGTTCTCTGGTTTGGGCAATGCCAACACAGTTCTCTTGCACAAGGGCATCTCCCCCTTTCCCGCCCCATCCTTCACATGTCTTACCAAGGAGTCTTGCTTAAGTATGTGTCAGTCATTGTCCTTGGAGCTTCCTGGAGATCCCACCTTTAGAGGTCACGGAGCATTCTGAAGAAGCTCTAAGCCTGGCCCTTCAATCTGGGCCTGCTTGTCCCCCAGCACGGCAGGCACTGGGCCAGGCCAGCTGCCATTTCTAGCTTTGCCCAGTGGGAAGAGAAAGGGTTTTTGTTCCTCTGTGGCAGTGTTTTCAGCTGCTGCAATTGACCACTTCCCTTCCTAGGGCGAAAGGCAGGTCCTGGCTCTAGACAGCGATTCTCAACCTGTGGGTCGCGACCCTTTTGGGGGTCGAACGACCCTTTCACAGGGGTCACCGCGTACTCGTATGTGGGCGTATCTGCATGTGGGCCTGGAGATGGATAGAGGAGCGGTATCTCAGTTCCTAAGACCATCGAAAATATGTGTTTTCTGATGGTCTTAGGCGACCCCTGTGAAAGGTTGAGAACCGCTGCTCTAGGAGAACATGCCAAGACGGAAAGGAGAGAGAAGTAGATGAGGTCTCAGCCAGGGTGGGGGCAGGGCTCTGTTTGGATTTCCCTGAGTTACATCTGCCATCTGGGTCCGGAGGCTCCTTTCCCAGCAGATATGAGTCATGTACAGCAGTGACAGCCACATGAGGATATCTGCACAAGGCTTGCATCCCTATGTATTAAATGGTCATGGCTAACTCTGACCTCCTCCTGTGATACTCGGCTCGAACTTTTGCTCCGTAGTTTAGAATCACATGGAAGAGTAGAAAGACCATAGGAGTGGGTATCAAAGAGACTTGGGTTTAAATCCTGCCTCCATTCCTTCCCTTGTTAGTTCGTTGATCTTTCATTAATTTAGCAAATAGTTTCTGAGTGCCAACTATGTGCTAGGCTCTGAGAATACAGAGGTGAATGAGACAGACAGGTCCCACCCCGTCTCATCAAACATACTCTGTATAGGGAGGCATACAAAGACCAAATTATGGGATCCTGAAGAAATGACCAGGACGTTATGGGAGAGCATAGTGGTGGGGGGGGATAGAGATGAGGCCCCACCAAGGTAGGATGGTCGAGGAAGGCCTCTCTGTGACATTTAACTTAAAACTGAAAGATGATGTAGAGCAGGCCATGAAAAGGAGAAAACCTTGTAAGCAGAGGGAACAGTACGAGCAAAGGGCCTGAGGTGTGAAAAAGCTTGGTCTGGTGAGAAACCAAAAGGAGTCCTGAATTACCAAAACATGATAGCAGGGGAAGAGGGTGCTGAGAAGTAAGGTCAGAGAGGCAGGCAGAGGTCAACTGGAGGGATTGGAGTTCATGCAAAAGTGAAAGAAGTCTTGGGAGTTTTAAGTATGCAGAAGGTCACAATTTGGTTCTTTTTTTACTGTGGTAAAATACACATAATTTTACTATGTTAACCATTATAATGTTGTGCAACCTTTACCACTATTCAGTTTAGGGACTTTTGCATCACCTCAAAAGGACAGCCCAGGGCCGGCCCAGTGGCTCAGTTGGTTAAGAATGCAAGCTCTGAGCAACAAGGTTGCTGGTTTGATTCCCACATGGGCCAGTGAGCTGCGCCTGAGCTGAGCTGTTGCTGAGCTGCCAACAGGTGGCAGGATGGCTCAGCTGGTGAGACCACGTGTTCCTAACAACAAGGTTGCTGGTTCGACTCCCTCTGGGCTGGTGGGCTGCACCCTCCACAACTAAGATTGAAGGACAACAACTTGGCTGTTCCCCTTCCCCAATTCCTCAACACTGTTCCCTTTCCCCAAGTCCCCAATAAAATCTTTAAAAAAAAAAAAAGGACACCTCATACCCATTGAGCAGCTACTCCCCATTCCTGCCTACCTCCAGCCCTCTGCACTCACTGATCTGCTTTCTATCTCTAT